ACCATAAGTGGGAGGATGGTTTCTTTCTCGCTTTTATTTTAAAGCCCAGTGCTTTTGCTAACGTGGGTTCTAGAAAGATTGAGCATTCATGAACCCAAAAGTGGAGTGGGGAAACCCTCAATGATTTCTCTCACAAGGAGATGTGTGTGAATGGAAGGAACAGTTGGCAGGGAGGAGTCGGGGTTACCCCTTCTCAGAGCCTTGATAGTAATGGGCATTTGTTTTCTCTCCAATAGAGTGTCCATACAGCAGCTGAGCCCTTACGAACACACATATAGCAGCCCCAGCTAACTAAGGCAGGGTCTCTTGTCAGAAATCTCACTTTGATGTCATCAGAAATTTTTTTTTTGCAGGTCCTTGCTTAACATCTTATTGCCAAACTGTAACCAGTAGCGGCAGGGTATATGGGAGTGTTCAGGGAGGACTAATGCCTCTGGCGTGAGGGCTAACGCCTCTGGCATGAGGGCTTGCCAAGCTCTTTTCAGAGCTGTTCATCTACCCTTGGTGTCCATCTGCCATTCAACTCTCACCCATGGTAAGACTGATGTGGCAGACAGGTTAAACCATGCTAAGGGTAACAAACAGCCTCAAATCCATCAGTGAATTGGGGGGATATCCACCCCAAGCATGTTAAGACTTCCTCCAGGGGAATGGGCTGATGAGAACAATTTGTTCTAGTGGCCACGAAGATGGCTGAAGCAAGCACTGTGGAAAGCTTAGAGCTTGGTCAGATATTAAAGATACCAAGGTCATCATCCACTGCATCCCAGGCCATTGACAGTCATCTTAACTTTTATCTTGCCACTGGACTTCGATGACTGTGGAAGACAGAGTGAAGCTAATGACTTGGTGCAGTTCTGCCTCACTTAAATTCAATTCAAGGGCAAATAAAGACATCACTCACCCCATGATTTCATAGGTCCTCTTCAAAAATGAAGGATAGGTGGTGCAGTGGATAGAATACCAGCCCTAGAGTCAGGAGGATCTGAGTTCAAATCCGGCCTCTGACACTTGACACATACTAGCTGTGTGATCCTGGGAAAGTCACTTAACCCCATTGCCTAGCTAAAAAAACCCAAAAAAACAAAACACACAAACAAAAAAAGAAGATGAAGGACACACAACAACCAGTAAACATTATTTTAGAGACTGCCCTTACAACAATCCCCTGGAGGCCACAGTCATTCTCCTGCTATTATTATATTTACATGGTTAAAGCCATCAGAGGTTAAACTCATCACCTCTAATCTCATCACCATGCAAACTCAAGCTTTGACTGACACCACTTCCCTCTGCCTGGCGGGCTGGACAGTGAGTACCCCACCTTTGGGTTCCCTCTGCTCTTTTCAATCTCCCTCCCTCCACTCCTTTCCTGCTTCCTTTTGTATGTTGTCGCCCCTCATTAGACAGTAGCTCCTGGAGGACAGGGACTGTTTTTATTAATGTATCCCCTTAGCTTACCTTGGTAGAAACTATGACCTAATTTAGGTAAACAGCAAAGTGGGTATTTGCAAATTTAAATCAGTTTTTGAAGATCAAAATCTTCAGAGATAATGCATTTTGGGAAGCAGCTAGATAGTGCAGTAAATAGTATCAGGTCTGGAATCAAGAGGACCAGAATTAAATTTTGACCTCAGATATTCACTAGCTGTGTGACCCTGGGCAAGTCACTTAACTTCAACCTGCCTCACTTTCCTCATCTGTAAAATGGAAATAATAGCACTGCCCTCCCAGGATTGTGGTGAGGATCAAATAGGGTAAATGCAAAGCCCTTGGGACAATGCTCAGCACACAGTAAGCACTATACAGTTATTCCTTCCACATCGTGACTTCCTCCATCATGGCTTCAATAAATCACAGGTCAGGGGCAGCTAGTGGCGCAGTGGATAGAGCACCAGCCCTGGAGTCAGGAGGACCTGAGTTCAAATCCAGCCCCAGACATATAACATTAACATATAACATATAACATAACATTACTAGCTGTGTGACCCTGGGCAAGTCAGTTAACTCCATTGCCTAGCAAAAAAACAAAAACAAAACAAATAAAAAAAACACTATATCACAGGTCAGCATAAGAAATTAAATGGGATTTTTTTTGGGAGTTTTGTGGGACCTGCAGATGACACTTGAAAGCCAGCAGATAGCACAGAAAAAATTTGTGTAATATCAACATATTTTATCATTTAATACCATAATAATTCAGACTTCTTGCCTGGTATAAAAGAAGAGCCAAAAAAGTTTGTACGGATTTTCCAGATAGAGAGGACGCCACTGTACCCCTAATCCCCATGATGTGGAAGTGATATTAGCCATTATTAATTAACCCTGAGAATGGATGTCCCTCATCAAATTGACCCTATGAATATTCAAACATATTTGTAGTGCATGTACATCATCTCCCTTCTACCATCATCCTCCCAGTTCCCTACTACTAAAGCCTTTGGGTTCAATATTGTGTTTAGCTATTTCCACTGAACACTATAAGGACCCTACCAAGAGAAAAAAAGACCAAAACATACAACCAGAAGAAGACAACAAAGTCAAAGCTCCTACACCCAAAGCCTCCAAGAAAAATATGAATCAGTCCCAGGTTCTGGAAGAGCTCAAAAAGGATTTTGAGAAGCAAGTAAGCAAAGTAGAGGAAAAACTGGGAAGAGAAATGAGAGTGATGCAAGAAAATCATGAAAAACAAGTCAACAGCTTGCTAAAGGAGCTCCAAAAAAATGCTGGAGAAAATAATACCTTAAAAAATAGACTAACCCAAATGGTAAAAGAGGTCCAAATAGCCAATGAGGAGAAAAATGCCTTAAAAAGCAGAATTGGCCAAATGAAAAAAGAAGTCCAAAAGCTCACTGAAGAAAATACTTCCTTAAAAATTAGAATAGAGCAATTGGAAGCTAGTGACTTTATGAGAAATCAAGACATTGTAAAACAAAACCAAAAGAATGAAAAAATAGAAGACAATGTGAAATATCTCATTGGAAAAACAGCTGACCTGGAAAATAGATCCAGGAGAGGGAAATTAAAAATTATTGGACTATCTGAAAGCCATGATCAAAAAAAGAGCCTAGACATCATCTTTCAAGAAATTATCAAGGAAAACTGTTCTGATATTCTAGAAAAAGAGGGCAAAATAGAAATGGTAAGAATCCACCGATCATCTCCTGAAAGAGATCCCCAAAGGAAAACTCCTAGGAATACTATAGCCAAATTCCAGAGATCCCAGGTCAAGGAGAAAATCTCCTGCAAGCAGCCAGAAACAATCAATTCAAGAATTGTGGAAACACAATCAGGATAACACAAGATTCAGCAGCTTCTACATTAAGGGACTGGAGGGCTTGGAATATAATATTCCAGAGGTCAAAGGAGATAGGATTACAACCAAGAATCACCTACCCAACAAAAATAAGTATAATTCTTCAAGGGAAAAAAACGGACATTCAGTGAAATAGAGGACTTTCAAGCATTCTTGATGAAAAGACTAGAGTTGAATAGAAAATTCAACTTTTAAATACTGAAGAGAAAGCATTTAAAGCACTTAAAGACTGAAGAGAAGCATGAAAAAGTAAACAGGAAAGAGAAATCATAAGGGACTTATTAAAGTTGAACTGTTTACATTCCTACATGGAAAGATGATGGCGAGATGGAGAGAAAATCTGGAACTCAAAATCTTGTGGAAGTGAATGTTGAAAACTAAGAATAGATAGATTAAAAATATTTAAAAAAATAAAAATAAAAAAGTTTCCTTATGTGGAGCTAAAATCTGGTTCTCCATAACCTACACCTCTCCAAGGGTAAGTATAACAAGAGTCCAGTCCCTCCTCCAAGAAACAGCCCCTTTAAATTCTTGAATATAATTATCACATCCTTCCTAAACTCTCCTGTTCTTCAGGCTGTATCTCCAGTTCCTTCAACTCATCCTCAGATGGAAAGATTTGGAGGTCTTACACCATTCTAGGTTGCTCTCCAAAGGACATTCTAGAACTTATCAATGCCTTTCCTGAAAGGCATGGAAAACTGAACAAAATATTCCCAGATGTGATCTACCCAGCAGAGAGAATATAGAGGATTATTGCGTTTCTAGTATTGGACACTACACTTCTCTTGGTGAGTCCCAATTACCTTAGCTTTTCTAGCTGCCATATCACACTGTTGACTCAAATTGTTTGAACTGAATTAAAGCCACCAGATGAATGACTATCTAGTCACACTGTCTTGTATTTGTGAAGGTAATTTTTTTTTAACCTAAATGTAAGACTTTATATTTATTGGTTGATATGTTGGTTTCTTTTGCTTAGCTATCATTTTTGGCATAAGGGAGGGTTTGTACTGGAGAATGAGGAGGTGGAGTCACTAGAAACTGAGTAATGTGAAAAAGAAAAAGAACATCAATTAAATCTAAAAAAAAAAACCAAACCAGCCCTTTTCCTTTATTTCTATTAAATCTCATCTTACAAGACTGAGTCCAATGGCCAAGCTTGTCAGGATCTTCTGGGATCCTGTTTAATCCAAAGTGTTGACTATAATTCCTAGCTTTGCGCCATTTGCAAAATTTGGTAAGCTTATAATCTACACCTTTATCCAAGTCATTGCTAAAAACATGTTAATTCACTTTGGAGTTGTATGTATCATAAGTTTTTTGTTCCGAAGAAATGCTCCCTCTTTTTGCAGTCACTATATTAACCTCACTACGGCATGCATCTATCGCAGGAATAAATAAAAGATGACAAACATTTATGGGGGGGTTTGTATATGTAAAGTGATATGAAAGTAACTGTTTCTTCTTTGTTCAGAGAAAATATTAGTTACACACTTACATGACTGGTTTTACTTAGCTGTCCAAACCTATAATTTCACCAGTATAAGGTACCAGTCTAAACTATAATTTCATTCATTCTGTAAAATATCAATGCACCAAACATACTGTATAGTTTAGGTTGTTTTAAAAGAAATTTCTAAAGAAATATTTGATGAGCATCAAATTATGGAACAAAGTAGCATAAGTGGGAAAAACTATATATTTAATTTTTAAAAAAGTAGATTTGATAAAAGCCATTTAGATCTATTATAACCTGAATATTTTCACATCTCCTTTTTAAACAAGGTAACATTTGCATTCAAAGTACATTAATAAAGACATATTAGAAACAGGTCTAACACATGCCTCACAATTCTGAGATTTGCTGTTTTGCATATCAAATCAAATATACAAATTCCAAATGACACATTTTAATCAATGAATTATTTCTTATCCAGTTCAATGACTTCTTGGATCCAAGAAAGGACATGTGAGTTGATTTCCTTCAAAACATCATCTGCAGATCGTCCTTTCACTGTCATGGAATGATTGGCTTTTTTAACCCAGTGGATCTTAGTAGGGACTTTCATTGTCTTTGCTACTTTCTCCAGCAATTTCTGAAAGAAAATATATATAGAGGAAAACAGATTTAATGCTCATTTTGTGATTATGCTCCATGATGTCATCTACCAAGTAAGTTACTAGGACCTTCTCTCCTCCCCCTCTTTGAATATATGCAAAGACGCTCACCTAATGTCTGAGACAACCCATCCAACCCATCTCTTTCAGCCCTGGAGGCACAACAATTTGCTTAGCATTTATTATTGATAATTGTGTTACCAGTTGTAGGTCAACTGAACTGTGTATGGTACTCCCAAAGACAAATTCAGATGTTTGGGGAACTGTGTTAAAACTTTTACTCGTTAGTATGTTATTGCAACACCATATTAAATCAATTTTTTTCAATTAATAAACATTTTCTCTCCCCACCTCCTCCACACCCACTGAAAAAAGAAAATGTTAAGCAAAACAAATTCTTGCATTGGAATATCTAAAAACATGTGTCTTATTCTGCATTTTTAATCTATTACCTGTCAGGAAGGGGGTCAAATTCTTCATCACTGCTCTTCTAGAATCATGTTGGATCATCACTGAGTTGATCTTAAGTTCTAAAGTCCTTTCAAATGATCCATTTTTACCATGTTATAGGATGAAGTCGGTGTGTTAAATATTAACGTCCTTATCAAGGTTATGCTTGTACAAGGTTATGCCGGGAATAATTTTTACAAAGGAATAAAATGGCTGAATGCTAAAAAGTTGAAATAGCCTACAGAGCTAATAATATAGCTATAACAGATGATGAAAGCTCTCAGAAGACTCAAGATGAACTTTTCTTGTTCCTGTATGTCAGTGTTCATTTTCACTTGACCAGGTAGTCCTTACCTACCATACAAAATGGGCCAGTGCAGCTATGGGATCTATGCTCTCTGCTTCTCTCATGTCTCAGGGTACCTTGGATATAAAATGAACATGAGCTCAACAAACAAGATCAGCTCTTCTGAACCAATTCTGAATTTCCCAAGCAAGTTTATTTCTTCCTGAAAAACCTCATCTAATAAACACCCTACACCACGGTTGTTACCTTTTCACACATCTCGTCTGCGGAACCAGAAACAAAGAGCACGGGGCCCTTTATAAGCAGCAAACTTTCATTTCTGAGCTTATGCTGCTGCTTTGGACGGTGCAGGGGATAAGAAAAGCAAATGAGACCTCGGATAAAGTCATCAACATCTTCTGGTTCAATCTGACACATCACAGAGGCAGCAGCTCTAGAACCCATAGAACGACCTAGAATCATTTAAAAAAAAAAAAACATCAAGTTAGCCAGGAGGACAGACAGTAGTGCTATAGTAAAGAAGGTCCAACTTTAAAGCTCATCTCCCATCCAGGGGACAGCATTCATTTTTCACTTTGTTCTACACAATGAATGTGGTACTTAGATGAACAGAAGCCTTGAAGGTCCTAGAAGAAATGATAAAAGGTTAATAACAAATCTTGCCCATACAAATGTCAGGCTGCCATGATTTTCTGAGGGTCTGAGGCTCACAGGTGGAGAGCTGGAAGGGACCTTAAAAGTCATCTACTCCAATCTTTTCATCTTACAGATAAGGAAACTGAGGCCTAGAAGTGCTAAGTGACTTACCCAAGGTCACACAGATAAGTAATCAGTGGGAAAGCTGGGATATGAAACCCAGATTTTCCTTCTCTAAATTATGTGCTCTTTTTGCTGGCTTCCCTTTAAGGACAATACTATCAAAGGGATCTTCTTGCCTGAACAATAATGGATGAGGGGAGAATGCCTGTCTCCTTTTCTTAGTGCCATTTTCTCATACAAAGTAGACAGCAGATACAAAGTTAATTGAAGCCAGAAAAGTGCTTTGAGATTCTACTAAGTTATCATTCAGAACAATTTTTAAAAGGGTCCTAACATTAGCATTCTGTTCAATTTTATTCCTCTTCTATCATTTCTTCAATATTTTTAGAATCCATAATTTTGTCAATGTAGGGTTTTAAAGACTGCCTTCATGAACTGCTACAGAACCAAAATTCATCATCCAATAGCCAACATAATGCACTTCTTCAATAATGGACTACATGTGTTTTAAAAAAAAAAAAAAAAAAAAGGAGAGGGAGATCTTTAAATAACAAAATCGAAAGATCAGCAACTTACCTCCAAGGAAAATACCTGCAAGTCTGTATTCATCTGAAGTCTTCAGGTATTCCTAAGAAAAATGAACCAAAAATGAAGAAATTAATGCAGAAAGTATTCCCCTAGGCATAGGAAAACATATAACGTGGGTGGTTCTTATATCCATGTTAAATAAAGTACTTGGTGTACTTTTGAGTTTGAGATTAATTGGTGTTTTCTGTCAGGAGTGAACAATATTTCAATGTGTGTGTAACAAAAAAGGTCTCCAGGTAAAGGCTGGATGGCTATTTGTTGAAGATGTTGAAAAGGGCTTTCCTATTCAACTATGGGCCGATTCTATAAAAAAAACTAGTATGACCATAGACTGCATTAATAAGCACAAAAGATTTGGAACAAGGGAAGTGCTGTGTTCTGACCTCATCAACTCTCAGCTGAATTGTCTGTTTCCAGGAATAACATTTTAGGATAGACTGAAATGTGTCCCCAGGCACCAAGATGGTGAGAGAAGAGGAAGTCACTACTCCCTAACCTGCCCTCAGTACTCCAGTCAAAAGGGACTATTTAGTAATCCACTCAACTGGCCTTATTCTGTTAGGTTACCTCCCAATTGCCCCTGGCCACTTCCCAGCCTTAATCCTATCTAGACTCCAGTCTCCCTTGGCCATGTGGTCCAGGGCCCTGGAATTCAGTTCACTTCTGCTTACTGGCTACTCTCATTCAGATGCTCCTTAGACCCCTCCTCCAGTCACCTAGACTACTTGGCTACTCTTGGATCTCTCCCACAGTCTTTCTGTATGTAAGATTCATCTTGTCTACATTAAGGTGCTCAGATTCTTAAAATCTAGCCTAATGCTTAGATCCTTAAGATCTGGCCCACTTGCATTAATGATACAAATACTTAGATTCCTTAAGAGTCCGGCCACTATGGCGGATGTTCTAATAAACCTTGTCTTTGGCTGGAAAAAAAAAGGGGAGAGGAATTGTTTATCAAATCCAACATGCCATCTACAATCTCCATGTATATGGGCTGGCATCCCCTATGCCTGGAATATACTCTCTCCTCATATTAATCTTTATTTTCATTCAAGGTTCATTTCAGATACCATTTACTCCAAAGAACCTTTTTCCCAATACTCTTACCTAAACATATCCTCTTCACACCCCAACTATTTCTAAAGGACTCTGTCTGGCTCTCTCCTTGGTCACCATCAATGCCTATTTTGCACTAAACTTACCTTTATCCATTTGTTATCCATCACTCACCCTCAAGTAGAATTTAAAAGCACCTTAACTAAAGGGATTATTTTGTTTGCATCCTAAGCGCCTAGCATAGCAGTGCTTAAGATATATTTGTTTAATTGAACAAGGGATGATTAGACTAGAAATGACTAAGGACAGATAGAGGTAGATAGGAGGGATATAGGAGGGAATAAAACAGCTGTGTTCAAGTATTGGACACCTTGTCAGTAATGTGGACAAGTTCATTATGGTTTTACTTAGCCCCAAAGAATAGAACTATGAGAAATAAGTGTAAGTTTCATAGACAATCTCTCAGATAGGATGTGATATGGTTGGAATATCACTGTGGAGTAGAAAATAATGAGCTGGTTGATTTAGAAAAACATGGAAAGACTTGGACCTATGAAGGAAGATGCTTTCCACCCTCAGACAAACAGATGACAGGTAGAAATAAGCTACAGTCCTTATTTCACAGGTGTATGAGCACATAGATGTAAATATGTATATGTTTATAGAAATCTATATATGTATACATATGTGTATGTATATATATATACATATACATACACACACACACACGCTTAATTGTAGTCTTCTTGGGGGGAGGAGGGGAAAAAATAAAGTAAAAAGTACACAGCAGAGAACAAAAGAAAACCAACAAGGAAGCAAAGAAAAGCTGGGCAGCTTTGAAAACATGTAGTATTTATTATATAGGTTTTCTTGAAATGTAAATTTATTGTTTTATTTTGAATCCTCTCCTGTAGTCTGCTGTGTACATGGAAATGTTTTGGTTTTTTTTTTCTTTTCTCATTTTATACTTAAGTTTAAAATTTTAAAAATTACATTGAACAAAAAAGGAAAAATTTGTTAGGAAGGGGGGAGATTCACAGGTGCCATACATTGCACGTGTTTTGGGACTTTCTAAATGCATGCATCAATTGTGCTGACTCTTTTTCTTTTCAAAAACTATTTATTACATAGGATGGCCCTTGGGAAGGGAGATGAGAAAGGATGTATGGGATACTATGACGATGTAAGAAACGAAAAACATCAATAAAAATTATTTAAAAAAAAAAAAGAAATAGGTGAAAGTCTCAAGAAGGATTTTGGCTTAATGAAAGGAAAAACTTCCTAAAAATCACAGTTGTCCAAAATTAGAATGAGCTGCCTCACAAGGTGAGGGGTTCCTTAGATGGGGACTTGGTGGTGACTTTCAAACACGAGTTTGACAGGTGATTAGCTAGCCTCTCTCAGGTCCCTTTCAACTCAGAGATTCTGTAAGAAGTTCCAAATCAAAATAACATTTCAGAGGCACAGCAAGATGTTGCCTTATTAGGAGGACCTGTGGTCCTCCTCAAATCTGTGAAAATCCATGAAAAATATACCACTCGAGATTCTAAAAGTATTTTTCATTTTTCAGTTCCATAAACATTAATTGCAAAGCACTACGCTTAGTACAAAGGTGAATGTAAAATATGAGACATGGTCTTTTCCTTAAGGAACTTTCAGTCAGTTCTGAGCAATTAAGACATAAATACAAAATATAAAAACAAAATGTTAGAAAAAAACAAAGGGAGGAGTTCCATTCACCTTAAATCAAAGTCTTAAGGGGGAGTAGCATTTTAGCTAGGCTTTGAGGATGGGTAGTATTTCAACTGGGAGAGATGTTGAAGGTGGCATTGTTTCACAGAGCACCAAATACATGTGAGGAACAGTGAATAATAATCTTATTCAGCTAGAACAGAATATAGAGTGAGTAGTTGGAGCTAAAGCTAGAGAAGTAGACGGCAACTAACTAGTTGGGGGGGGCTTCAAGAAACGCTAATGAATTTAGACTTTATTTAATAAGCAACAGGAAGTCACTGAAAGCTTTGGGCGTGGGGGAGTGACATGAACAGAGCTGTGCTTTAGAAGCATAATCTGACAAGGTTGTTAAGATAGCCTGGAGAAAGAACAGATCATTCAGAAAAGAGTAGATAATGCACCCAAGCAGGGCCTACAAAGTTTTGCTATAACCACATAATCTAGTATCAGTTCAGAATCCCAACTATACCAATACTTCCATTAGACTAAGACTCCTTGTGGAAATGTCACAGGGCTGTAATTGTGATGCTGGGCTTATCACCATGGAAACAACTCTCCCACTAGCAAACACGAGAATTTGATGATAAAAATATTAATTTGCTGCCCCAAAAAAGTTATTTGTAAGGATATATCTTCCATGGTCCTCCATTTTCTACTGAATGAGCCTCAAACTCCTGAAATTAGTAGTCAAGGTCATTAACAATCTGACCCAAACATACCCTTGTGCTTTATCACTCACCATCCCCGCTTTCACTACTCTGCCACCTCCATGAAGCCTTCCCTTATTCACCGATGGTCAGAAATGATAGCTCCCTCCTGAATTTTCATAATATTTTATTTATAATTCTCAGATGGCACTCTCCACATAGCACTATGTATCTCAGTTACTGGTATACACTTGCTTATCGTTCTTAACTTAGAAAATAACGAACATTTGTATAGTACTCTAAGTTTTACAACATGCCTTATTTATATATGTTATCTCATTTGATTCTCATATAACCTGATGAGGTAGGTTCTATAATTATCTTTTTACAGATGAGGAAACTGAGGCCAGAAGAGGTTAAGTGATTTGCCAAAGGACTCACCACTAGTAAATGCGGCAGGTGTGTGAAGCAGGATTTGAAGGTCTTCCTGATTCTGAGTTCAGCCCTTTCTGTCAACTATGGCAACTGCCTTGAGGAAAGTGACCACATCTTATTTATCTTTGGGTGCCTTGCCTAAAAGTAGGTTTTCCATAAGTGTTTGTTGAATAAATGCCCCCAGAAATGCTGAACCAAATGAATATATTCATTTTCCACTGGATTTTCTTAAACAGAATCTTTCTTTATGAAACAAAGCAACTGACTTATCTTACCAAAACTGCTTTATATGCCTTTATTCTGTGTGTAATATTGAGGCCTTTGCAAGTAAACCTCAGGCACAGGATTCCATGACGCGCAAGATGGTTTGCCAGTGACTTCAACTGAGGAAAATTCATATCTCCTGCGGCTCCATGGGTAAGAATCACTGCGTATATTAACACCTGGTCAGTTAATATCTTGTCAGGGACAGAACAAACAGCATCTAGGTTCTTATTTTCAAAAGGTATTTTCACTTCAACCTACAAAGGAATAGACCAAAGGGACAAATAATTACTCCTTAGCCCAACTAACAATAGTCAGATTGTTCAGCTCTGAGAGACATCCTGGCATCTGCCACAGGATTACAATGCCTGGTCTCAAGAGAGAACATAGAAACAAGTAAGATTATTGTTGGAGGCTGAAACTGGAAGGAAAGAATGGCCTGAAGTTAAACATCTTAGAAAAAAGGAGAGAGAAATTCAATAATCCAGAAATAAAGTAAATGAATGAACATGCATTACCTCTGTATAATTACTCATGTTCAGGATCAATTTAGAAACTCAGCATGAATATCTTTGAAGCAAACACCTCTGACCTGCAATCACAAAAAAATTACTGAGGTGAATGACCACTTTGAACAGCAAAGACAAACACGTTAAAAGCCACTTGCCATTCTGAACTGATTTTGACCACAGTGGATGTTAAGTATTGAAGGTTCTTTTCATCATTTCTCATGGTTCCCATGGATACTCTTCATTGGTTTTATGACCAAGGGGAGTAAGAGAGTAATAAACGGAACAGAATATGACACCAAGGAAACATGGCACAGTGGGAAAAAGTTGACTTTTGCTAGTGACCTTCAATCTGTGGAACCTTGATTAACTCATTTTTTGGAACTTCTTCCCATAACAATGATGATGATGACGATAATGATGACATAGAAAAGGAGACACCATTATCTTCATTTTGCAGATGGAGAAAATGAGGTCGAGAGAAGTTAAATGGCTTATCCAGGGTCACACAACTAATAATGTCTGAGAGAAGATTTGAAACTCAGGTCTTCCTTTATTGCCAGTCCAGAAATCCATCCACTACTCTACCAAGCTGCCAGTAAAATGAGGAAATTGACCTATGCTGGTTTGAAAAGCCAACATGGAAGTCTGGATCAAATGGGCCAGCTGGAAGAGGCTGCTTCCTCTCCAAAAGAAGAAGCAGAAGTCTGAAAAGGTCTCCCAACAAGAACCGTGGACCGTGGTGAAAGCTCAACTGTGAATCCTAAGACAAATAAGATGTAACGAACTCCACTAAACTGGTCCTGGAAGAGAGAATCCTACATCAGTGGTTCTACTTTACCATTACAGAATCAGAGATCGAGAGATGGAAAAGGACCTTAGAGGCCAATTAGTCTAATCACCTATTACAGTTAAGGAAAGTGAGGCCCAATAAGGTTAAGTGATATATCCAAACTCATACAGGTGGTATCAGAGGAAGATTTATTTATTTTTTTTTAACCACATCCTCTGAATACAGAGCCATGCTCTTTCCACTGTAAAGCACAACATACTATTGTGGGAAGGCCATACCTGGAATATATTCCTTCTCCATCTCTGACTTTCAGAATCCTTCACTTTCTACTTCTCAGACATTTGATACATTAAGAATCTTGATTTATGGAAAGCACTACACTCAACCAGGGAATTCACAGATGAATAAGATGGGGTCTCTTCTCTCAAAGAACTTCAAGCCACCTCCTCCAGGAAGCCTTTTCTGAATAACCCCCTGCCTTGGGTAAAATTACTTCTTCCTCAAGTTTTCCTTACAGAGAGCATGTCATCTGGATTCCTTTGGCACCATCACTCCCAACCCTTATATTATACTTGCCTACATCCTACCTGACAAAAGAACATAAGCTCTTTAAGATAAAAAACTATGGCATTTAAAAAAAAAGCTTAGTATTTCCACCAGTTACACAGGTGCCTTGAATGGAGTAGATGTTTGATAAATGTTGGCTGAATTGAAATGGGCAAGATTCTAAAAATCATTAATCCCAGACACAGACAACCACGAAGCAGGGCTACGGTATCCTACCATTATTTAGATAGTCCTCTTCTATTTTTTCATTACTATCTTACTTGTCAAAACCTTCCATTGTTCATACCATAACCACTGCCAGGCACCCTACTATTCCCTGGCTGAACTAGCCCTTCTTACCTTTTCTAGAGATTTAAACCTTTCTTTTCTCCTGCATTCCCCCTCAACCTTTGAGAACTTAACATTTGTTGTGGCAACGGTTAGAAGAAACATTCTAGAACATTTCAGGAGTGGTATTAACTGTAGGCAGGCAATGATAGTCTACACAGTCTTTAGGTCACTGGCACAAGTCTTGTCCTGTTGGCAGAAAGTGAACATAGGTGTTCACACAATTAGCCAATAAACATGGAGACAGACCAGGAAGACCAACCCTTTCATTTTACAGAAGGAAAACTGAGCTTCAGAAAAGAGACATGACATGTCCAAGGTCACACACAGAAAGGGGCAACTAGATGGCGCAGCAGATAGAGCACCGGCCCTGGAGTTGGGAAACCTCGTCTTCCTGAGTTCGAAGCTGGTCTCAGACACTTACTAGCTGTGTGACTCCAGGCAAACTTTGCTTCATTTCCTCATCTATAAAATGAGCTAGAGAAGGAAATGGCCTACCACTTCAGGATCTTTGCCAAGAAAACCTCCAATAAAGTCAACTGAAATGACTCAACAACACACAAAGAAAATAAAAAGGAAAAAAAAATGTCAGAATGCAGTCAACAAGCATTCATTAAGAACTAAGTGATAGGCCACGCTAGATGGTAAGAACGCAACAAAAAGCAAAAACAGTCTCTGCTCTCAAGTTCCTTAACATTCACAAGGAGAAAACAACCTATCTTCTACAAATACACATACAGGAGAAGGAAGACAGCAATCTCGTTAAGTTTCTCCCTTGATGAGGTGGGGCCAAAATGGTGGAGTAAAGGTAGGGACTCACCTGAACTCTCCCAAATTTCCCTCCAAACAGAATTCTCAACTAGAACTCCAGAGTGGGAAAACCAACAAAAGGTTGGGGTGAAATGATTTTCCAGCCCAAGACAACCTGGGGGGTTGGCAGGAAAGTTCTGTCCCACTGGAGCAGCGAGTGGGTCTGCAGTACAGGGCAGCGCAGGCCATGCGCTGGCAAGCCAGCATCGGCCCTTGGAAGTGGCTACATAAGGCAGCTATAGCTTCTGGAGCTCTCAACCCACAAAGAGTAAAGGGGTGGACAACTGGTCAAAAGGAGATTACAGGGGACTCTTTGCTGGTGCTGGGGACAGGACTGTGTTGCATTTCCCATATACAATGCCAGCGTGCAATCCCAGGGCAAAAAGGAGAACTAGCTCACTAGTGCTTGCTTCTGCAGGCAAAGCAGGGGCCCTGGTCACAGTTCCAGGGCAGAGAAAAATGCTTGTGGTCACTTATAAAGCAGCAGGGGCCCTAGTATCAGGACCACGACAGAAAAAAGCACTAGCTTTTGCAACTGCAGGAGAGCAGGGACCCGAGTCACATTTCTAAGGACATAAGAAGCAACAGTATTTATGGCCACAAGAGAGCAGGAGGCTGGTCAGAAGTCCTGAAGAAGAATACTTTTGGTCGCTCACAGACCAGAACGCAGGCCAGGAAAGCAGGGGCCACTTTTCATCAGATCCTACCACCGTGGAAGAACTGAAAACTTACCGACCCCCAGAACCAGCTCTGAAAACAGAAGCACACAAAAACCTGAAACTTGGGACAGTATCCCCTCCAACCTGGGAGCAGAGCATAAAAACATAAAGTTTAAAGTCAGGAAGGGGCTAGAAAAATGAGCAAACAACAAAAAAAGAATCTGACCATAGGAAGTTACTGTGGTGACAGGGAATATCAAGGCACAAATTCATTAGAAGACAAGTCAAAATAGCTATATACAAAACCTCGAAGAAAAATGTGAACTGAACATGAGTCCAAAAAGAATTCCTGGAAGAGTTCAAAAAGGATTTTAAAGATCAAATAAGAAAGAAAGAGAAAAAAATGGGGAGAAGGAATGAGACTGATGGAAGAAAATTATGAAAAGAAAGGCAACAGCTTGGCACAAGAAATACAGAAAAATACTGAAGAAAATAGTATCTCAAAAAACAAAATTGGCCAAATGGTAAAAGAATTGAAGAAAAGAATTCCTTAAAAAATTGAATTGGCCAAATGGGAAAAAAGGTATAAAAGCTCACTGAAGAAAATAATTCCCTAACAATTAGAATTGGGCAAGTGAAAGCTAATGACTTCATGAGACATCAAGAAAAAAAAAAATCACAAGAATGAAATAGAAAAAAATGTCATTTTACTCATCTCATTAGAAAAACAACTGACTTGGAAAATACACTGAGGAGAGATAATTTAAGAATTATTAGACCCCCTGAAAGCCATGATCAAAGATATCATCTTTCAAGAAACTATCAAGGAAAATTGCCCAGATATCCAAGAACCAGGGGGTAAAATAGACATTGAAAGAATCCACCAATTAGCTTCTGAAAGAGATACCAAGAAAATAGTGTGGCAGAAACTAGGTATAAACCAACATCTCACACTGTATCCCAAGATGAAGTCAACACCGGTACATCATTTAGACATAAAGGGTAATAGCATAAACAAACTAGGAGAGCAAAAAATGGTTTACCTGTCAGATCTATGAATATGGGAAAAATTTATGACCACACAAGAGATAGAGAGCATTATGAAATGCAAAATGGATAATTTTAATTACATTAAATTAAAAAGGTTTTGCACAAACAAAACCAATGCAACCAAGATTAGAAGGAAAGCAGAAAATTAGGAAACAATTTTTTACAGCAAGTGTTTCTGATAAAGGCATTTCTCAAATATATAGAGAACTGAGTCAAATGCATAAAGATACAAGACATTCCTCAACTGATAAATGGTCAAAGGACATGAATAGGCAGTTTTCAGATGAAGAAATTGAAACTATCTCTAGGCATATGAAGAAGTGCTCTAAATCACTTTTGATTAGAAAAATGCAAATTAACATAACTGAGGTACCAACTCACACCTATCAGATTGGCTAAAATGACAGAAAGGGAAAATGATAAATGTTGGAGAAGATGTAGGAAAACTGGAACACTAATGCCTTACTAGGGGCATTGTGTACTAATCCAACCACTCTGGAGAGCAATTTGAAACTATGCCCAAAGGGCAACCAAACTGTGCATACCCTTTGACCCAGCAATACCACTACTAAGTCTGTATCCCAAGGAAGTCATAAAAAAGGGAAAAGGACCCACATGTACAAAAATATTTATAGCTCTTTTTGTGGTGGCACAGAATTGGAAATTGAGGGGATGCTCATCAACTAGGGAATGCCTGAACAAGTTGTTATAAATAAACTGGAATATTACTGTGCAATAAGAAATGATAAGTAGGCAGATTTCAGAAAAACCTGTAAAGACTTACATGAACTGACGCTGAGTGAAGTGAGCAGAACCAGGAGAACATTGTACACAGTTAACAGAAACACTGAGATGATAGACTTAGTTCTTCTCATTAATACAATGGTCTAAGACAATTCCAAAAGACTCATGATGGAAAATGTTATACACATCCAGAGAAAGAACTGATGGAGTCTCAATACAGATTAAAGTAAATTGTTTTCACTTTTTTTATTGGGTTGTTTTTTTTTGTTCCATTATGTTTAACATGACTGCACATGTATAACCTGTATCAGTGACTGCTGTCTTGGGAAGGGAGACAGAGAAAAATGTTTGGGACTCAAAATCTTACAAAAAATCAATGTTGAAAACTATCTTAATATGTAATTGGGAAAAAAATGCTATTTACGTAAAAAAGAAAGAGATCCCCAAATGAAAACTCCCAGGAATGTTACAGCCAAATTCCAAAGCTCCCAGGTCAATAAGAAATGTTGCAAGCAGGTGGAAAGAAACAATTCAAATATCATGGAGCCATAGTCAAGATAACACAAGATTTAGCTGCTTTTACATTAAAGGGAAATACACATGTGCATGGAATGGGATGAATTCACACCAGAATCCCACAATATGTTGTTTATATGAAACACACTTGAAACAGAGAGATACATAGAGCCAAAATAAGAGGCTAGAGCAGAATCTATTATGTTTCAGCTGAAATTAAAAAAAAATGATCTCAGACAAAATAAAAGCAAAATTATATCTAATTTAAAAAGATATGGAAGGAAACTATATATTGCTAAAAGGTACCACAGACAATGAAATAGTATCAATACTCAACATATATGCACTAAATACTATATAGCATCCCAATTCTTAAAGGAAAAGTTAATGAGTTACAGGAGGAAATAGACAGTAAAACCATACCATTGGGGGACCTTAACTTTCCCCTCTGAGAAATAGATAAATCTAACAACAATAAAAAAAAAAACAAAAAAACAGAAGTTAAGGAAATTAACAGATTTTTAGAAAAGTTAGCTATGATAGACCTCTGGAGAAAACTGAAAGGGAATAATAAGAAGTTTACCTTTTAATTTCCATCTGTACATGGCACCTTCACAAAAATTGACCATGTTTAAGAGCATAAAAACCTCACAACCACATGCAGAAAATCAGAAATGTTAAATGCATCTTTTTCAGATCATAATGCAATAACAATTACATTCAATAAAGGACCATGGAAACAGATTAAAAATTAATTGGAGAGGCAGCTAGGAAGCCCAATGGATAGAGCACCAGCCCTGAAGTCAGGAGGACCTAAGTTCAAATCTGGCCTCAGACCCACCACTTGACACTTACTAACTGTGTGACCCTGGGCAAGTCACTTAACCCCAACTGCCTAAGCAAAAAAAAATTAATTGGAAACAATATAATTTAATCCTAATGAATGAGTGGGTCATAGAAATAATTAAAAATTTCATTAACAAGAACGATTACAATGAAACATCAAAATTTATGGGATGCACCTAAAGCAGCACTTAGGGGAAAATTTACATCTGTAAATGCTTACATCAATAAAATAGAGACAGAGCAGATCAATAATTTGGGCATGCAATTATAAAAAAAAACTAGAAAAAGAACAAATCAAAAATCCCAATTAAACACCAAATTGGAAATCCTGAAAATCAAAGGAGAGATTAATTAAACAGAAAGTAAGAAAACTATTGACTTAATGAATATAACTAGGAGATGGGTTTTTTTGGGGGGAAACTCATAAAATAGATAAACCACTTCTTAATTTGATTAAAAAAAGAAAACGAAACTATCAGTATCAAAAATGAAAAGGGTGAATTTACCACCAATGAAGATGAAATTAAAGAAATTATTAGAAACTATTTTACCTAATTATATGCCAACAAATCTAACAATCTAAGTGAAATGGATGAAAATTAACAAAAATATAAATTGCCCAGATTAAAAAAGGAAATCGAATACTTAAATAACCCTTAGAAAAATAAATTGAACAAGCCATCTACGAGCTCCCTAAGGAAAAAATTCCAGGAGCAGATGGATTCACAAGTGAAATATACCAAACATTTAAAGAACAATTAATTCTAATTCTATATAAACTATTTGGAAAAATAAGCAAAGTCCTACCAAATTCCTTTTTTGACACAAATATGGCACTGATACCTAAACCAGGAAGAGTCAAAACAGAGAAAGAAAATTATAGACTAACTTCCCTAATGAATAGTGATGCAAAAAATTTAATTAAAGTACTAGCAAAGAGATTACAAGCAATATATCAGAAAGATCATACTCTATGACCAGGTGGGATTTACACCAGGAATGCAGGGCTGGTTCAATATTACGAAAACTATAAGTACAATTGACCATATCAATAAAACTAACAGAAATCACATGATTATCTCAATAGATGCAGAAAAAACCTTTGACAACCCCATTCCTATTAAAACACTAGGAAGCATAGGAATAAATGGAGCTTAAAATAAGTAATATTTATCTAAAACAATGGTAAGCATTATCTGTAATGGGGATAAACTAGAAGCCTTCTCAATATAATCAGGGGTGAAGCAAAAATGCCCATTATCACCTTTATTAGTCAATATTGTACTAGAAATGTTAAGCATAGCAATAAAAGAAGAAAAATAAATTGAAGGAATTCGATTAGGCAATGAGGAAACAAAACGATCACTCTTTGCAGATGTTATACTTAGAGAATCCTTTAGAATCAACTAAAAAACTGCTTGAAATAATTAACTTTAGCAAAGTTGCAGAATACAAAATAAACCCACATAAATCATCAGCCTTTCTATATACTATCAACCTAGTCCAGCAGCAAGAGATAGAAAGAGAAATTCCATTTAAAATAACTGTAAACAATATACAATACTTGGGAGTTCGCCTGCCAAGACAAACCCAGGAACTATATGAACACAATTATAAAACATTTTTCACACAAATAAAGTCAGATCTAAACAACTTTCCTTCTTCCTTCCCCAAGTGATCTGTTCAGTTGCCAAACCTAGTAGATTCTACCTCCTCAACATTTCTCATTTTTGTCTCCTTCTCTCTACTCCTACCACAGCCACCTTAGGTCTGGCCCTCCTTATTATCTCTCACAGGCTATTTCAATAGCACACTAATTAGTTTGCCTGCATAGTCTCTCAAATCCATCCCACATTTAGCTGCCAACTTGATCAATGCAAAGTGCAGGTCTCATTCCTCTGCTCAAAAAGTTTCTCCGACTCCCTCCTGCCCACAGGACAAAACACAAACTCCCATTCTTGTCATTTAAAACCCTTCACCATCTCAATCTTGCCTATCTTTCAAGGTTGCTCCAGAGGAGAGACTAAAGCTGACAACTTTGCACAGCTCTGCCTCACTTAAATCCAGCTCACTCACAAGTCAAGACATTACCCTCCTGATGTGGCCGGTCCTCTTTGAGAATTAAGGATGAACAACAACAACCCTCAGAGAAGGCAAGCTGCAAGACCCGGCAATTTTTGCTTTTATATAGGGTCACCAAATACTCACTGTGGCACAGTGGATAGAGAGGGCCTCAATGCTAGGAAAACCTGGGTTCAAGTCCTACCTCTGACACATACTGGCTGTGAGACCCTGGGCAACTTACTATTTCTCAGTGTTCAAAGTCAGTAGTTCACAAACTTTTTGGTCTCAGGACACCTTTGCACACTTAAAAACTACTGAGACTACAAAGAACTTTTGTTTATGCGGTTTATAGCTACTAAATTTACATTAAAAATTAAAACTGATAAATTTTTTAAATATTTGTTAATTCACTTAAAAATAACAATAAATTCAAGGCACAGTAACATAAATAACACATATTTTTAAAGTAATTACATATAAAAGAGTGAGGAAAGTGACATTTTAAAATATTTTCTGCAAATTTCTTTAATTTCTAGCTTAATAATAGAAGGCAGCCTAATCCTCATATCTGCTTCTGCATTCAATCCTTTTCATTTAATTTTAATCTTTTTTAAAGGCAGTTGGGGTTAAGCGACTTGCCCAGGGTCACACCGCTAGTGTCAAGTACTTGGTCTGAGTCCAAATTTGAACTCAGGTCCTCCTGACTTCAGGGCTGGTGCTCTATCCACTGCGCCACCTAGCTGCCCCTCAATCCTTTTCAATACGTTATTTTGGTTGCAATATATAAAGAAAATCTGACTTCCCACATATATTTAGTTGGAAAAGCAAGGAGTGTTGCCTATAATATGGTAACAACATCAGTCTTACTATGAAAATAGTTTTGACCTCATGGGCCCTCTGAAAGGGTCTCTGTGCCTCCCGTGGATTCTCCTACCACAGAATCCTCTAAGAATCTAAAAGAAAGTGGAGGAAGAGTAGGAGGGGGAAGAAGGGGAGGGGAGAAGGAGGGGGAGGGAGGGGGGGGAGGAGAATAGCACAGAGCTTTACCCTAAGGGCCAGAGTTCAAATTCCCCCGACCATCATTTACTACCTCTATGACCCTGAGCCTCAATTTCCTCATCTGCAAAATGAGGGGCCTGGACTACATGGCAGATTTCCAAGCTCTCAATCCAGAATCCTCAGAATGCTTTCCCTCTTCACCTCCGCGTCTTGAAATCTCTGGCTCCCTTCACCTCCACTGCAGCCTCCTAGAGGCTTGCATGGCTCCCCAGCCCCGTCCAAACGGACAGACCATCTCGGACAGCAAAGCAAGCTAAACATCAGGAGGGACACTGTGGGGTGGGAAACTAAACCTGGTGCAGACTGGGGGTGGGGGCAGGGGGTCGCCGCAATGCAGCGCGGAGATGCGGGCGCTGGAGGCCACTGGCCAACCCTCTCCCTTCGGTAAAACAATCCCCGAGCTACCACTACCGGCGCGGGGCGCGGGAATACCTAAGCAATGCCGCTGCCTGCCCTGGGGGCGCTTACGGTCTAGCTGGGGAAAGCCCACTGCACAGTTGGCTCACTGTGGCAATTATCTAAGTTATCTAAGAGTGGCAATTAAGCACGAGAACTTCCTCCCAGATGACAGTTCCTCCAATCAGGGCGCGACACGCAGCAGCCACAGCACACCCGAGGAAGCAGCGAAGGGCGGGGAGACCCGCGCGGGGAATTGATTAGTTGAATCCGAATGCACCAATCAAGCTAGTTTGGAGGTTCCGTTCAGCGTTGCACGCTGGTGCAATCGTGTGCAATCGTGTGCACGCTGGCACAGTTGCGCACAGGATCCGGGAGGGGCTCGCTTGCTTTGTTCCAAACCCTGCTTACCTGGAAAAAGCCCGGAGTCCGCGGGCGTGCTTCCGGGAGCTTGGCTCTTTCTACCCCACCTCCCACCCTCCCCGGTGGTAGGCCCTGGGTCTGATTTGTCTTTTCCTGGATCTTGGCCCCTCCCCACGCCGCACGCCGCACGCCGCACGCCGCCGCCGTTAACGATTGCTGTCCTGGGCTACTCTCTCAGCTGCCGTAGCTACTCAATAATAAAACAGTCCGTGGACATTTATTGAGCGCCTTCTGTATGCCAGGCTCGATGCCCAGCTGCTAATAGTCACGCGAATCCGCGGGTTGGGTGAACTAGCGGCGCTCCTGAATTGCATCCAGCGCCAGAGAGAGAAAAAAACTTTAGTCTCTTACTGGATTCAGAGCTGGAAGGGGAAAAGAAAAAGGGAGAAGGGGACTTGCATTTATTGAGCACCTACTATGTCCCGAGTACGTAGCAAACCTCTTGACGATAGGGAAGGGATGAGGTTCATTTTGAGGTTGAGAAAATGGAGGCCAGGGGAGGTTTAAGCGACTCGCTCCAGGTCCCACGGCTCGTTAACTGTAGGAGTCAGAATTTGAACTAAGGGCATCCCGAATCGGGGAGACCCAGTCCTCCATTCACTATTAGCACAGATGCCTTTGAGCAATCGCTCATCTTCACTGCTACCATCCTGGAAAACATAGCACCCCAATCTTGCAGCCCCATCAGTGACCCCTCCCCCCAATAAAATTAAGGTTTAAAAAAAGAAAAAAAAACTACTTTCCAAGGGATCTATTTGTTGTTCAGTCGTGTCCTATTTTATTTTGCAAACTGGGTTTTCTTGGCAACGATATTGGAGTCCACCATTTCCTTCTCGAGTGTGTCCGAATTTTACACACTGAGGAATTGAGGCATTTAACATGGAGTTAAGTGACTTGCCCAGGTTCACACAGCTAGTAAGTATTTGTGGTGGAATTTGAACTCAGATCTTCCTGAATCCAAGCTGGATCCTGTATCTACTGCACCACCTACCTGGCTCCATGGGATCTATTAGAGGTTATCTAATCCAAGATTTCTCAACCTGGGGTCCATGAACTTGTTTAATATTTTGAAAACAGTATTTCAGAAGTTGGTCTTCTTTGTAATCATACATTTTATTACTGCTTTTCCCCAGTTTCCTGGCCCAGTTCCAGCTCTCTTTTCTGTTGCAAGTAGTATATATAGAGGAACAAAATTGCTAAAGCATTTTGTTACCAGACTTTTTCCCACTTCAAATAGCTCTATGGAAGTGACTCATGATTCTAGAGTATAAATTTGGAAGTACACTGAGCATTCATTAGTCTCCCTTAAGCCAGAGATAATTGCCTTGACAGGTGAAATCTTTTAAAAATTTCCTCAAAGGGCAGCTAGGTGGAGCGGTGGATAGAGCACCGGCCCTGAAGTCAGGAGGACCTGCGTTCAAATCCTGCCTCAGACTAAACACTTGACCCATACTAGCTGTGTGACCTTGGTCAAGTCACTTAACCCCCATTGCCTCACCAAGAAAAAAAAAATTTCCTCAAAAACTTGCTAATGAAATTTCAGAACAGGGAAATTTTCACAGTGATCAAAAGGTAAAGTGAGTTATTTTTTTCTTCTACAAGATTCTCCAACCCTGTCTCAGCTGGTAAAGGGCCAGAGGCAAGACAGTGAGAAAAGAATTTGCAGCATTTGGTAGCATTTAGGAAATGTTTTCAGGATTTAAGTACTAGAAGATTAAATGTTCTTTAGTTCAGTAATCAGTCCTGTGCTTAACTCTGCATAAAATAGCCCTAATTCCAAAGATGAGTAATAATAGTGCTGAGGGTTCCAAAGGAGATTGTTTTATCTGTCCAGGTTGGAAGAGTTAGTCCTTAGATATACAGATTCTATGTGGAAAGTCCTGCTTTCACATCAATATCATTAGAAGAGATCCAAAGACCACATGGACAAAGATCAGAAAGTAGCAAATAATCTAAAATGGATTTATTGGGCTTTGGAACAAAATAATTGATGCTTTTCTCTAGGAGTTTAGAACAGGGTTTGACATGTAGTAGGTAATTAGCTTTATAATTCATGGTTTCCTCTGAGTGTTTAGAACAGTGTATGACACATAGTAGGCGTTTAACTTTATCGCTTTAACAAATGCTTTTTTACTCATTCACTCATTCATTCTCTTCTCCATCCCATTTGCCTCAATTCCCCAGTAAATTTGATGGAATCCTAATGAAGCTGTCCCCAGCCCCAATATTCTAACTTCCTTATGGGCCTCACAGCAGGCATGTCCTGATTTAACCACATAATCTGGCTTTAACCACAGGCCCCCAGACTCAATCATAGGCCTCACTGAATAGCAGGCCCACTGTCCCTAGTAGCCACTGACCCCAGACTCAATACAGCCCCTGCCCCTATCTAGCCACTGCCAAGCCCCCATTCAATATCCTAACTTCCTCATGTATGCCTCACTGCCGCACTAGAACAACAGGTATGCCCATGTGTTAGAATGTTAGACACCACCTCTAGCTAGCCACTGCCCCCAGACCCATTCATCATATTTCCCTCAGAAACAGCAGGTATGTCCATGCATTCAACCACAACCACATCTGTTTAATCCCAGACAGGACTACAACAATCAGTCAATCAGAAAGCAGCACCACCAGGACTCCTGAGCAGGATGTGGGCCCAAAACAATAGAAAGGACTTTCCCTAAGTAGGTACCTGCACAATAATAGTTAAAGAACTGATCTAGAGTAAACTTATGAAGTAGACAGGCTTATTACAATATCATCATAATATATTAATGCCCTCCAAAAGGGTTTTTCTGTTATGCATTGGGGGTAATCGCATGGGCAGTTCCTCCAAGGCTAAGACCCTTCCCCTATTACCAAATCCCTTGACAAACCCTTCCTGACTTTTTTACATAATTTCTCTTGTGTAATCAGCATCATTATACTATAAAATTACCTGTCTTGTCTTACTGAAGCTGCTAGTTCCTCTTGGAACTTAGCCCAATGGGGAGGTGTCACTCTCAATAAATGCCTTCACTTGGGTTGGAAGTGGTCTGAGTCTGGATTCCTTGAGACGACCTTCACAACACTCCATGAAACCACAACAAACTTACCTTTCTGATTATGTTTGAGTTGTTTAAAGTGAGTCTGCTTTGTCTAATTTAAAGCACTTTCTGATTGATACCGGGAACCATACCATATACTACAAAAGTGCTTCAAATACCTCATGATTTGTATAAGTAATAATGCACGTAATAAACAATTGGTTTTATAATTAAATGTCTTTATATATAACTTTTTTATGGAAAGGCAGTTCTCAAAGAAAGGCATCCAAACTATTGACAACTATATGAAAAAGTGCTTCAAATCACTAATAAAGAAAAGCAAATTTCAAGCAACTCCGAGGTTCTGATTCATGCCTATCAGATTGGCTGAGTTGTCAAAAAAGGAAAATGGCAAATATTGGAAGAGCTGCAGGGGAAACAGGCACATTAATGCATTGTTGGTGGAGAAATGAATGGAACAAGTATTCTAGGAAATAATTTGGAATGATTCCCCAAAAGTCACTAAAATGTCTGCACTCCTGACTCTCTAGATTTTATCTCCCCTTCCATAGAAACCTCTTTACCCTGGAAGCTCACTATACTCACTTTGAATTTCAAAGATTGAAAGTAACATCCATTCCTTTGATTGTCTGGTTCACCTCATAGCCTCCATTTTAAGGAGGATGCCTAAGTTAGCTATGTCTTCATTTCTTTCCAAGAAATGAATGCATTCCTAAATATGTAGACTTTCTTTACCGTTCTCCAACCTTGTACCTTCATCTCTCCCTCTCCCTACCTTACTTTTCAGCTTCCTTTTTATGTTGTATTCTACCATTAGATTAGGGAGGGATTGTATTTCTTCTTGTATTTGTATTTTCTGCACTTACCACAGTGCCTGACATAGTAAGTACTTAATAAATGCATTTTTACTTTACTTGTTGACCTGACTTAACTTGACCCAGTGATACTTCTACTAGGCCTATAGCCCAAAGGGATCAAAGGAAGAGGAAGAGGACCATACGTATAAAAATATTTATGGCAGCCCTTGTTTTATGTTGGCAAAGAACTGAAAACTAAAGGAGTACCTGTCAGTTGGGGAATGACTGAACAAATTATAGTATATGAATACAATAGAATACTTTTGTTGTTCCATTGTATCCAACTCTTCATGACTGCATGGACCAAAATGTCCATGGGATTTTCTTGGCAAAGATACTGGAGTGGTTTGCCATATCTTTCTTCAACGGATTAAAGTAAACACAGGTTATGACTTGACCAGGGTCACACAGCTACTAAGTGTCTAAGGCCAGATTTGAACTCAGGTCTTCCTGACTCCAGGCCCAGCACTCTATCCATTGAACCAACCTAGCTGCTGTGATGGAATACTATTTAAATACTACTTTTTTAAATGATTAAAGGGATGAGAAACCTGGGAGGGCTTTATGAAATGATACAGAGTGAAGAGAAAAGAATAACATTGTAAAGACGAGCAACCTTGATGGAATTACTCAAGAATTCTGACCAACTTAAGTATAGATTGGTACATATTTTTTGGACACTGGGATGTGTCTATCTATACCTCTCTATGCTTAATGATGTGACCTGAGGAGAAGGAGTTGGAAAGATTGCAGAAATTAGCACCACCTGAGCCATAAAATTTCCTGAAACTACTCTTGCTCTTCCAAATCCTACTTAGTCTACTTGTTGCTTTTGTGCTAATTTCAGTCATTCAAGAATCCACGATGTAGATGCAGAGGGGAA